AAGTTGTGTAAAGGGACTGAAATCTATGGGCAGGGGGAAATATTCACTTGGCTAACACAAACAGTCCCCGAACTCGTAATAGAACTAAAATAAGGAAAATCGGTTTAAAATGATGGCCTAACTCTAACCTGGTAAACCTGGTACACACACTCTACGGGAGTACATGCAAACATATATCGCACGGAAAAACTCACTCATATCTGGTTACCTAGCCAAGCAATAATATTTTTGGCATCTATTTGACTATTTGAAACGAACTTATGATTTGGAATAACCATTTACGAAATTACTTAAACGAAGAAGTCTGAATACAAATAGTTTCTTATACAAATGTCGAGGATAATTCGCATAGAAACGCCAATAGAGCAACGCATTTAATAAATTACACTTGTAACTCCATTATTGATACTTTTTCCACTTTTGCACAACTCAGTTTGAACAAACTTGTATGAAGTAATTTCTCGGCGGATGAGTTTCATTGAATCGACGTTTGAACGTAACCGACAACACGCATAGGGGAATCACCCAACGTCGGATATTTGTATTGGTTCTACGTGTTGCATTCGTTTCGTTGCAGAAATATGCCAATGTCACATTTCCTGTGCTGCGTCAGTCATTGGTGTACACGCCTCCGACTCTCCCTGCTTTCTGTAGGACAAATATAACTACCACAAATGAAAGAATAAAATTAAACTATGGTTATATATTGTCAATGAGTACGATATTAACTGGCGCCGTCCGCATCCACCGGGCTCGCTCTTGCGCCCGCTGAAGCCTCATGGCATTAAGCTCACAATCGACAACAAACTCACTTACAAAACTGCAAACGAAACCTGACGCCCGGTGGAACTCTAGACGGCGCCAGGGGGCGAATGCTTCCACCTTTTTATCTCCAAATACCTAAAAAATCACTATTTTATTAATCAGGGATTGGATTTTTCTATGATACATAAAATAAAGTTAATCCCGTATAGAAGGGGGAACCAGGTTAGGGTTAACTTTATTCCGATTTTCCGATTTCCAATTATTACGAGTTCGGGACTGTCGGCCGAGACTGTTTTTTTTTATGTACGGTCCGTACGGTCTTCATTTGTATCTGACCCTTCTGTAACAATGGCTGCACACCTCTGCTCGAAAGTAATAAACTGACGTTTACAATTCACAACCTCCGGGTTAGGCGAACCACCAACCTTAAGGTTTGATTATTTACAATATAACAATGTCATATTCTTTGTGTCGTTTCGTTCACTTTCGTTGCAGTGTACACGCCTCCGACTCGCCCAGTTTTCTGCAGGGAAATGTAACCACCACAATTGCAAGGTTAAAATTGAACTATGGTTATATATTATGAATGAGTACAACGTGGTCTGGCGCCGTCCGCATCCATCGGGCTCGCTCTTGCTGCGCCCGCCGAAGCCTCACATGGTGTTAAGCTCATACTCACTACCGCAAACTGCAAGAAACCTGACGCTCGGTGGAAGTCTAGACTGCGCCCCTATCTTTTTATCTTCAAATAACGGAAAAAGGCACTATTTCAGTAATCAGATTTTTTATTTATTTATCTTATATAAAATACACTTTGTTAATTGTATCCCATTCTTTCATGGAGTCGTTCATTGCAATTTATATGCAACAGTAATACTCAAATAAGTGAACACAAAATGTGAATACTAATATATGTGTTTATTATCTTCAACTTTAAACTTTTTTACACCCTACGTTTCTCTAAACTTAACCAATCCATCGACCAGAAAGAAGTTTAAATCGGTCCACCTGCGTCTGCTAAAATTACGATTAATCTGTAGGAAATATCGATAAAAATAAGGCCATAATGATCCCGATTGTTTCATTTTGCATATTTTCATTATATAAACGCCAGTCTAGAAACTGTTTTTAATTCCTATTGTGTTTTGGGCTTCCCGCCCAGTAACCAAGTCTATTATCTGTTCCCACCGCTGTTGTAGACGGTAATAAAATGATTTTGCACTAAAAAGATTGGTTGCTTTCTATTCTCCTATCAATTATCTTTCAACTTTTACCTGAAGCCTGAATTTTACATTGAACGAACTTGTTCGAGTTATTGCCCAGCTGTTCTAAGTTTATGTTACTTAAGATAACCCAACTTATTCTAACTTAATAAACAGATTCAAAGTCAACTAGATAGAAAATTAGTTGTGAAGCCTTATTAGATAGTACCGAAACGCGTGTAAAGTAAACCGCTGACATAAGCAAACTACGGCCCGTGGGTCAAATCCGACCCGTTGGGTAATCCAGTCTGGCCCGCCTGATTCTGCCGGTTCCATTACATTTGAACCCACGTACATTTGAACCCATGACAATTGCACCTGTATGCTATTGCACCTATGGAATTTTTTTTGTTTCACGGATAGTTAAACCCATACTAACCCTAACCCATGGATTTTAGCACCCGCATATAGATTGAACCCGTGGATATACGCATGGGTTCAAATGTACATGGGTTCAAATGTACGGTCACCGATTCTGCCACAACCAAATGTTGATGTTTTAGCTTAAATAGCTCATGGAATTTGTTCAGATTGCGATTACATTTAGTTTTGGCACGAGGCTTGTTGTTTTTCAATTTTTCTTTTGTAACTCTGTAAGTATTGTTCATAAAATGTGACTTTTTACGTCACACTTACATGGCCCGCCAGTCTGAGTGGGCAACATTTTGGCACCCGCTCTAAAAACCTTGCCCACGCCGGGTCTAACGTATTGATCAGGAGTTAACAATTCACAACCTTGGGCTTGGCGGAGCCACCAATCTTGAGAATTTTATTATTACAATATTACAATTCCATATTCTTTGCGTGGTTTCTTTCACTTTCGTTGTAGTGTACACGCCTCCGACTCGCCCAGTTTTCTGCAGGGAAATGTATCCACCACAATTGAAAGGTTAAAATGAAACTGTGGTTATATATTGCCAATAAATACGGGGTAGGTTGGCACCGTCCGCATCTGTCAGGCTCGCTTCTGCGTACGCTGAAGCCATAAAATGGTGCTAAGCTCAACGAACATTACCCAAACTACAAAAGAAACTTGACGGTAAATTAGACCGTGCCTTCCACCTTTTTTTTTACCCCCCCTCCCCCCACCCTCCAACTACAGGGAACAGCTGTTTTTTTGGTCTCAAACAGAAATTCGGTCTATAGCTTCCTTTCATTGGTATTGGAATGCATTTTTAAATATCTGAAATCGATATTTTTAGGGATTTATGTAAAATGTAACTTTTCTTCAATAGCAATTTACTAGCTCCCGCTATTTTGCAGTTAGATGAAGTTAGATGCATATTCGTGTTTTGTCCTATTTTTGTATGTTCGTTTGTGTTATAATAACTGGCATATTTCCACGTCTTTTAAACCTTTTTGGCCATTTTCCTGATTTCCGCAATCTTCTGAGTGTTCATCGTTTTGTGTAAGTTTTGTAAATTGCATATCGGGTGAATGAAAACAAACTGGCACTCCCGTAGTGTTTAAACCAGGTCAGAGTTAGACCATAATTTTATTCCGATATTCCTTCTTTAAGTTCTATTACGAGTTAGGGGACTGTATGTGTTAGCCAAAGGAATTTACCCATCTGCCCATAGGTTTCAGTCCCTTCACACAACTTGATGTAAAGTAGGGTAACAATATTAGTTACCTCCATATTGGTGCACATACCTAAGGAGCGCCAACGAACTTATATTCATATTAAGATAGGTCGAGAATCAGACTCAAAAAGTGAAAATAATAATAGATATGCAAACGTGGTTGGATTTACGGTCCACTGAGACATCTGAAGATAAAATGACTCATATCTGTTCTCAGTACCTCACTCGCCTAATAAAAACCTTGCTTCGAACAAACTTGTATTAAGTATAGTGTATATAGTATGCATATATATATATATAAGTATAGTGTATATCGGTGTCGCGCGCAACTAAAACAATGATCTCACCCACAATTATGTGTGGTCAGAAATACGGAAATTTTATATGCTATTGGGAATTTTGAGCGTAAAATGACTTTGTAGCGTAGGGATAGTAGTATTGGAAAAGGAAAGTTCGCGACGGAATAAATTGTTTTGATTAGTAGCGCGTACTATATTATAGTTTCAAGCCATGAAGCGACGCAAAATATCGCTACAGGAGGCTGTATTGGCCTCCAACGCCACTCCAACGTACTTTTATGTAACATTTTTATGTCGATTTTTCACTGCAAGCCTTATACTTGATATCACTGTTTTATGTTCCACTCTAACCCTAGAACGCATTTCAAATCTTCGATAAAATGATACATTTTGTTCGTATATGTTCATTATACCGGCAACAAAATGTTAGCGGATTAGGAAATAATTGACATGTAAAATCTAGCCATATTTGCAAAAAACTTAGGTCATTCTCCGCTTAAAATCAGCGTACCTTAACGGGCTATCATTTTCGCTAAATTTTGAACCGATTGCAATGTTCGGAATGCCACGATAAACGGTCGTCTGCAAGTTATCTTCGATGTGTGACGTCATAGAGTATTTTTAAACGACGTCGTTCGCTGAAGGAGAAAGTCGCGTGAATCCGTCTCAGTTGCATCATCTAGCGGATGGCGTTTTTGCAATATAATGCCGTGTGGACAAAATATCTAATAACCCTTTTTTGTACAATTTGGTCTTGCAATCTGGTTATAATAAAGTCATCATAGGGCTATATTTCGTTAGCTCTTACCAGATCAGAAATAACGTTGTGCGATTGAAATTTAGCTGATTTGGTAGTGAGGCCAAATTATAATGAAGTATCACAAATCACTAATATCCTTGTTGTAGGAATTCAAGAGTCTTATTTGACCAAAATCATATTATTAGGTGGCTTTGATATTGAGTTTCTTATTTTACATCACTTTTTACAATCCAGTTCATTTTTAATAGTTATTAGTTATTATTTTACTTAATATAGTTAATAGTTATTCTGCTAACATAAATTCTGACACTAAATTATTCTATACCTGTAGGAATATCATCTATGGTGCTTTAACAATATTTTTCAAAATGTGTATTTTTCTGCTTCCTATCAGAATGAGGTAAGAATGTGTTGAGAATGTTCTGCGAAAGCATGATGTTTGTTGTCTTTAATGTTTTGAATTTACCAAAAATTGAAATGAAATCAGCTGTTAAGCATGTTTACTGTTTGGAGAATTGTGATATTGTGAGGGTGATTATAAAGACTCTGCATATTGCATAATGTTACGTAACTGATTGTCGGTTTGGTTTTCCTCCATAACTGGAATTGGCAATCAAACTGTATATTTAGAGATTTTGCAAGCTAAAATCCCATCAAGATGGTTGAAGAAACTATCAGTTAGAATTACGCAAGACTAACAACATTTCTTTGCCTTTGTGGAAGTGGATTCGTATGCTGTGACAAGAATAAAGATGACTATACTATATGATTGAAGAGTCTTGCTACACTCTAACACAAATGTATTTCTGTAAAGTTTCGTCTGTGCAGCGAGACTCTCGAATCAAATTGGATGATTGAATGTTGGATTCTGTGCATCATAGAATCGGGTTCAAGTGACAAACTAATCCTATATTTGACAAGGGCTATTGAATAAATGAGAAATCATGCTCTGCGTTGGATTGTGTTGAGAATGTTCTGCAAAAGCATGATTTCTGTTGTCTTGAATTCGGTGTTCCCGAAGTATTGGTGCACAACTTGAACATAGTATGTGTACCAGGTTAGGGTTATCAGGTTGTGCGCCATCTTGGTGCACATACTTCCGGCGCGCCTTGAATTCTTAATAAATTTATCATAAATTTGTAATGAAAGTATGCTAAGCATGTTCACCATTTTGTGGGAGTTGATTATATGTGACCATTGGTTGATGTTCTCTGCGTATTGCGGAGTGTCCCCGTACTGCTGATCGATTTTCCAAGTTTTTAACTAATCTCAAGTTTAGGGTTTTTGCAACTTGTGATTTTGTGGAGGTCATTTTATGAAAAAAGATTAGTGAGCTGTGCTCATTGCAGATTTCCCACATAACTAACTGCTGAGTCATTATCCCCCCCCCCCAAGTTTATGCATCTTATTACTAGGTATCTAGTTATCTGACATGGACTGTTGTCTGTTTGATTGTTGTGAGTGATCATGTCATAATTTAGTAATTGTCCGATTGTGATCACACAATTTGGGCTGGAAATTGGATAAATATCATGATTAAGTCAAAGATTCTTTAACTTCTAAGAATACAGAAAATGCATGATTTGAGAAGTTTATTAATTCAGTGAAAACATGAATTAATAAATGTTTGTTTTTTATATGCTTGTGCCCAGGGCAACTTATTGGTAAGAAATTGTATCATATTCAGAATGTTTTTGCTGCCTGTCAATGCATAACATTGAAGCATTGTGATTTTAATTGTAGTCTTGATGCTGCCTGTGTCAAAATACTGAACCTTTATGTTGATATATATATGGCAAAATCAGTGTTTAGAAAAAGGAGCACTGTTCCCACTTGTGTCTTGAAATTGTACATGGAAACATTTATTTATATATACAGTCTACTTTTTTTTATTCAAACCACACCCCATCATCAATCTCCCACTTTTCCTCCCTTAAATGACATCCAAAACCCACTCTCAAAAACATATTGATTTGTTTATACAACATGAAACTATCCTAAGATACACCTATTTCAGGTTCAATATATCCTTGGCATGTGCACATGTCCGACTCAGTTTCCAATGGTAAAAGTCAGTGAAGGAAAATATAAAGTTGGAGATTCGAAAACACTAATATTCATGAGGGTGAGTATGAATATGTTTCCTAGTGATTCTCTTATGGCGCGGCGGTGTGGCTCAACGGGCTAAGCGTTAGGAATACGCTCGCCACCGCACCTCTAATTACTCTGCGTGGGTTCGCAGGTTCGAATCCCATGCAGGGGCGGTTATGTGCGAGAGGATTGCTGGACTCCTCGTCGTTGTTGGGTGGTTCACGTAACCGCTGGTTGGTTACGACTTCCTCCACCACCAAGTCCATATTCCGAAAACAAACAATACAGTAAAACTAATCCCATACCCGACTTGGAATGGTAACCGGACGAGAGGCCGTGGTTCGCCATATGGATAAGCCGTCTTATCGGCTTTCCTCTCCCCCGGGATAAATATGTAAATCCTATCCTATCCTAGTCTAGATTAGACCTAAGATCTGGAGCCAGAGCCTGAAGCCTGACCTTTTTTTAAATGAGGCGTTTCGGCAGTGTTTTGGCCACGAGAGATCGTGGTCTGCAAAAAAAAAAAAAAGTTGCCTCATCAGCACGACACATACTGTACTAAATAAACTCTTGCAATGACAATTCAATGAACTCCTAACTAAACTATTAAATTTAGGGTTTGCTTCGGACTGGCCTGATCCTACCTCTAGTCTAGATACTCAACCTAAATGAGGAAAGCTGTCATCACTTTACCCAATTGCACATCAGCGGCTGTTTGCAAGAGCCCTCTTTAGCCTAGAATTCCACGATTAATTGGGACGACGTCTCTGCAGCTCTGGCTTATGTAGTCAGGATTATTTGCTGAAGGATTGCGGGACTTTTCGCTGTTGCAGGGTGGTTGGCTCAACTTATTGCCTAAAATCCTCCATTCTATTGGGTTTCCCATTCCCAGGGTAGAATAGGGAAAATCTTCTCCAATTCATCAATTTATGTGAGAAGTAAAGAAGATCAGATATATTTTCTTATGTCAGAATATTTGTATTTACTGTATCCTCATAATAAAATTAAATGATTGGGATCGATTACAATATTTTCTTTTCTAGATCTTACGCAACCATGTCATGGTTCGAGTTGGGGGAGGATGGGATACATTGGAACATTACCTGGACAAACATGACCCATGCAGATGCAACCGACATAGGGTCGAACAAAAAATTGCGACAAGGTGCTATTTTCTATTCTTCTAAGTATTTGTATTAAAATAGATTGATGGGAGGGAAGCTTTACACATTTTTTTTGTATATTTTTTTTCCATTTTGCTGTATTTTCCTCAGAGAGTTTTTTTTCTCTTTTTAGAAATTTAAAGAGACTGAAACTTTTTTTTTTCAATTGTTTTATGGCAATTTTTTACAATTGTGGTATGTTTGTTGTTCAACTATTACGAACACATGCCTGTCTGGCTAGTCTGAGTCTCATGTGCGTTTGTCTAAGTATGTTTGCATGTTGGAGATCACACCAAGATGAACCTGGAGGATTCTTTCCAATCCAGAGTCCTGTTTGAACCAAAAGTTTAAAAATTCCGAAAGACATATTAGCTTATATTTAATGTTTAATGTGACATTGCGAGGGTATGGTCAGTCGCATTAAAATCTGCTTATGGACCAAGCAACTGGAACAATTACTGGAACTAAGCTAAGCCAACTTGCCAAATTTGGGTAATAATGTTGGAGTAACATTAACATTTCTCTTGTTCTGAGAAGTCGTATTTTGTTTAAACCTCAATGTCTTATCAAGTTCTTTAATCAAGTCCAAAGATTTGCATGTTATTAGGAACAGTAGCATGTAGTAACTTAGTACAAAGAATTCTCTCAAAGCACTGCAATATGTGCTTTTCTCCTTATGCCGTGCTTTGAAATCTTCCCCTGATGAGATTGCCCTAGTCGTTTTATTTGTGTTAGTATATTTAAACTCGATGATCGATGCATCTTCTAAGTGCTAAGAGTAAACTTAGTAATGAACCTCTGATTAAACGGGCCCGCAGTTTTGAATATTGTGCGATATATTTACGTGAGAGAAGATTGCTAAACTTGGTTGCAGGGTGTTTGACATTGTGGCATACGTTTTTCTCCACAGACAAAGTTTCAAGTTTGGAACAATAAAATGGTTAAGTAATACCCAACTCACACCCAACCTGAACTGGCCAGGTGGAAGGTGTCTCACCAACTTCACTCTCTCTTAGGACAATATCCTTCAACAGATGATCAGTGAAGAATTGTTCTTCATGGATTTAACACCTACTGGGGCCACTGTGATTGGCTGTTAGACTTCTTACTGTCACATGTGGTAGTTCATGTAGCCACTAGTCAGTTACGACTTCCTCCACTTTCCAAATTGGTTGATCTAAAATGTCATATAATTATCATCTTATAGGCTTTCCTCTCATTAGATAAATATAAACTATTAGAAAACATATATTCTTTTTTTCCTGATAATATCTTAACAACTCGATATCTTGGCTGCTTTTTAAAAATCTTGTTCAGCTAAGTGAAAGAGCATCTCATTAAACGGTGCTCCCGAAGTATGCGAACCAAGATGGCGGACATCGGAACGTAACATGGGTAACAGGTTAGGGTTCGGCGATAATTTTTTTCCAATTTTCCTTATTTTAGTCCTATTATCAGTTCGAAGACTAGCCAAGAGCCTTCCAAAGTATTTATAGCTAAAAGTATGGCCTAACCCTAACATAGTACACATATTACATTCCGAAGTCCGCCATCTTGGTTCGCATACTTCAGGAGCCCCCATTAAACAGCTTATATTCTTACCACATACCCTCACATATAAGCCAATCTCACAATTAAGCCGACCCTATAAATCGCATCGCATCTATCACATCAAATGGTTGCAGAAATAAATTAATGAAAATGCTAACCATTATTTTTACTTTATTAATAACGGTAAAAAGTTTTTCAAAATCCTCTAAATTCATTCAAACTCCTCAAAAAGATTTTTCTAGTGCAGAGTAATGCGCGTATGAGCCATCCCCTCAGTTTCGCAACTTTTTTCAATTTTGAGCTTGGCTTATATGCGAGGATGTGCGGTAGTTATATCATTAATTTCATGTAGGCTTTCCTTCCTAGTTAGTTTGCATGTTTTTTTGATCAAATTTCTATGCAGGATTCGTGATCTTGGGATAGTTTTGACGCCGGAAGAAGAGCAAGAATTGATCAGTCGAGCGAAACGTGAAACAAAACGTGATTTTACAGCTCGGAACCGATCCTTGTAATCATGTAGTATTGTTTTGTGTGACCACTAGGTGGTAGCATGTAGTAAATTCATAATTAATAATCTGTCATTTCAGCTAAACTTTTACGCAAACCAACGCAGCAATCTGATTTGTTAATTTTAAAGATACCACAAGGTGGCAGCAAATGAAATTTTTGTAATTTTTCATCCCATAATTTGTCATTTCACTTTGCTCAATAACGCAGCTATTAATATTTGTCCAAATATTCTTTCTGCTCTTGGTTGTGGGACTAACAAATGTATTTTATATTGATAAGTGGATTTGCTATTGTGAGATCGCTGCTCCTACCTGCTTTTTGAGAAATAAATTAAATCTGATTTTTTATTTGATTAATTTTCTATTTTTCACGGTGCTATGCAATTTTATTTAACGAATGTACGGCAACTGAGTGTGTGTAGGTCTTTTAAGCTTTCTTCATTTAAATTTAATTCTGATTGGTATTTTCAACATCTTTTGAACTAATGATAGCTTCTGAAACTTTATACTAGACGGGTTACTTGTTAATCTTGTGATTTCTAATATTTCACGCACATTTGTATTTGTGTATTGAATTCAAGTCCATGTATCCGAAAACAATTAAATGGCTAACTTATCCCATACCCGACATTGGTAACCGGGCAAAAGGCCATGGTTTGCCATATGATAAATTCATCTTATCGACTTTCCTCTCTCCCAGGATAAACATGCAATTCTATTCTATCCTATTTTGAGACACCATTTCTCACTCACCATTAGACTGTCTACTTACTTAGTTTTATCTGTTTTGTGTGCGTTAATAACACAATAACAACACAATCAGTTATTAAATCATAACCTCACTGAAGTGCATTGATCCAATGTCCCATCCTACTTGAACTATGTAAACCCCTGGTTATATCCATCCTTTTTAATACTTCCTTATTTTACCTATTTTGGAACTCTTCATTCCACCATCAACATACAAAAAAATTCTTTTTATATCTTGTCAAATTTTTAACGGAAAATCAGCCTCTATATTTGACTTTCACACAGTTTGAATAGATTACAATAAGTTCATAAATAATATTAATTAGGTCGAAAACATCAGCGTATTATTAGCGTCTTTCCATATCCCAGAAAATGAAAATTCTTTCCTTCTTTTGGATAAGAAACGCTGCACTGTACAAACGGGCTGGCAATTTTATCACTTTAAATATGTTATTAAACATGACCGGATTTTATATTGTAGCTGTCAAATGTCGTTGTGCTATTAACATTATAACGGTCTTATTCCAATTAATTTCTAATTTCCTTCATAAGCTAATTAATGATTTCACTAATTAATACTGAAACTACTAATCCAAATTATTATTAGACTAACACAGATCAACTTAATCCATCTTAACTTTTTCTCTTTCTTCATTTCGATAAATTAGTTTGTTACTTTTGTTATCGCCTTGATAGGGGCATGTCTTTTGCTAGTAACAGTCGCAATGTAGGCAGATATCTCTAGATGCATTACTGTGTGAGTTTTTTTAGATGTGACATTCATACCTGATGTTACATTCAAGTATTTTGTTCAGATAATAATTTTTTAGGTACTCCTGAAGTATGCGCACCAAGATGTCGTACAACCTGAACCCTGGTACACAACCTGAGTTCAGGTTGTGCGCCATCTTGGTGCGCATACTTCAAGAGGTCCATTTTTTAAGTATTGAGTGCGATTCTTAGAGTCCGGTTTCAATTGGTTTTTACAAGTTTATACCATGATTTAATATAGTTTAGTTTGTCTTGTCCCTTCAGTGGTGTTCTGTACCTTTGAGAGAAATCTAATTTATTTTTGAGTGAGTGCGAGAAAATTTACGTTGAGCGATTTCGCTTGTAAAAATCTTACTTCGTTAGGAAACAATACTAGTATTTGGTTAAACTGTTTAATCCTATTCTTTCTTATAATTTGGTTAATTGGAACTCGCTCTATTTTTTAGTTGAGGGTCAGCTGCCTTTATTAAACTTTTTTTCGCGTTTCTGTACACTATATTTGAAATTTTGAAGTTTAAAGCTCTTAATTCAGTTATGAGGAATGTGCAGAGTTTTCGTAGATTACCATAAATGCATTCCAGTTTCATACATCAGAAACGAATAACTGGCTATCTATCTTCGCACCCGTCATTGACTGGTAACCAGACGAAAGATAGTGGTTTGCCTTATGATAAAGCCGTCTGATCGACTTTCTATTCATTTGGTAGAAATATGAAAATACTGTCCTGTTCCCATGTTTGGTTTTAATAAATTTTTTATACTTTGTCATGTCAGGGTGTTTCTTGTCTATAGTTTCAATATGCAAATAGAATTCACTAATTTCTAAAACTAAAAGTACGGTATGTTTTATTTCAGGTCATGTTATATTTTATTATTTTAATAATTCTTTTATTTCTATTTTATTTTGGATCAATGAAATTTCGTTCCAGGTTTAAATGTTCGACGAATGAATATTTTGGAAAATTACTCAAGGACAAGTAAATACTGTTTTGTAGAAAAAACACAAATCATTTTTGATTTCAATTTCTCCACATTTTTATGATTATTTCTACCGGGAAATCCTGGTTTAGAATAGGCTTCTACACATTTCTATTAAAATATATACCGGTATATATAAATAGTGAGAGAGCTAGCTTTGATGATGACAAAAAGTAGGGCAAATCTAATTGATATAAGAAAGAAGTGCTGCATTTATGAAACAAAATCATTTTTGAGAAAATGTTGGAAAACTAGACAAGTTGATCAAAATTTTCACTCATATTCCATATTAGGACAGACTGTTTCAAAATCATGATAAAAATAGATTTCTGGCCACAATTTTTTGATTCCATTCAACTGTTTGCAATAATGAATAATCAAACAACAGCTATGATTCTCTGTCTTTTTTTAGACTTTTTAGGAATCAAGTACTTTATAAACTCTTTCCCTCAAATTTTGAAATTCTTCAAATATGTTATTTAAATGACTATAATTTTGGCAATTTTCTCCATTCAACATAATTATAAAGTTGCAGACATTATTCGGCACTATCCTGCAAAATTTTCAACAGAATTAGGACGGTTTTAACATCTGCTATATATTGTTAAGATACACCCCTTCCTAGTTATCTATTATTCTTGTCAGGTGTGCTAATAATTCAAATTTCAAAAACACCGATCAGCACTTATTTAAAATATCTTGGCACGTCTCTGTTTTTTGGTTTGTGTCACCAATTTCTTACTCAATGTCACAATAATATTCTGTCTCGGTTTTCCTCATGGCACTAGGGTTCACATAACCGCTGGCCGGTTACAACGTTCTCTGCCTTTCTGTCCTTGCGTCTAAAAACAAAATAACTGGCTGACTAATCCCATACCCGACATGGACTGGTAACCGGTTCGAGAGGCCGTACGTGGTCATGATTTAGGGCTCTCCCCTGGGATAAATATTTAAATCCTATCATATTTTGAGACACCGTTTCTTACTAATCATTAGGATGTGTACTCACCTAGTTTTATCTGTTTTTGTGTGTTAATAATACAATAACAACACAATCAGTAATTAAATCATAACCTCACTGAAGTACATTGATCCAATGTATTGTTTGATATTACTTTGTTGAATAGATCTGCTCAACTTAGAGATTGCTGTTATGGGTACTCCTGAAGTATGCACACCAAGATGTTGCATAACCTGAACCCTAACCTGGTACACAACCTGAGTTCAGGTTGTGCGCCATCTTGGTGCGCATACTTCAGGAGGTTCCTGTTTTGCACACTCAAAGTTTGCAGTGCCAATTTTTTTGTATGGATGATAGTATTCTAACTTCTTTTATTTAATATTTCGACTTACTATTTGCGACTTATATTAGTGTTTTCGGGCACCCTTTTGATCACAGCTACATTTATTATCAATCATTGCAAACTTGATCTTTGACTTGTTGATCATTTTTTGAATTAGACTGAGATACGTATTATGAGAAACACTTTTGATATTTGCTCCACAGATTTCACTATTTGGCCTTGCAACTCAGATTTTACTGGGTATGTTTACGCGGCGGTGTGGCTCAACGGGCTAAGCGTTAGGAATACGCTCGCCACCGCACCTCTGATTACTCTGCATGGGTTCGCAGGTTCGAATTCCATGCAGGGATGGTTATGTGCGAGAGGATTGCTGGACTCCTCGCCATCGTTGGGTGGTTCACGTAACCGCTGGTCGGTTACGGCTTCCTCCACCACCAAGTTCATGCTTCCGAAAACAAACAATATAACTAATCCCATACCCGACTTGGAATGGTAACCGGACGAGAGGCCGTGGTTCGCCATATGGATAAGCCGTATTATCGGCTTTCCTCTCCCCCGGGATAAATATGTAAATTCTATCCTATCCTATTTAGTGCAATACGACTCCAGACTGAACATGCATTTTAACAAATTGAACTCACTACCTAGTCACATACCCCAGTGTTCCCGGCGAAGGAAAATGTATATCTTTGTTTAACTTGACCGCTACTGTAACCTTCTTTTCTTTTGCGTATATATGAAATCTAATATATGTTTTGTGATCACATTAAGTTATCTAATTTATCTAATTCTTTGCCAAAATAATATAAAGTTTGCAATCTTTGATTTGTTCATTTTTGTGTGAAATAATAATCACTGATTTCATAATTTTACACCACTTTTTTATGGAAATTCATTTCATTTTACATTGAATATTATATGAATAATACTAAGTTAGAATAAATAATTGTAATTAACCAGATATCTTTTTAATGCAATTGAATTTTGAAAATTAAATTTGATTTTAATGATTTGAAATTCAATAATCAGGGTGAACATTAATAGGCCTATTATCAAAAATGAAACATTTCAAGGCATTTCGAAATACCGCAGTCCACAAGAAATGTAATAAATTAAAATTGCTAAATGCTTGGGTCTGCATTTCTCACTTATATTTTAGGTCTCACAAATGCTTTTCGTCTTTAGTACTTTTACGTCTGAGACTTGAAAAAGTTTATTTTTTGGTATTATCAAAACACTTTTCAAAATTCACCAATCTTGCCAAATTTATACCAAAAATCGCACTTTTCAGTTAGTTCCAGTCATACGCAAATTCAGATTTTACCCTAAAAATGTTCCAAAATTCTGTTGAGTACTTTTCCTGCATTGCATAATCACACACAAGCATGAGCACAAATAAATCCTCATTTGTGAGCCGAGGAATGTTTTATTCATGATATTTTGTACTTAATATTTCTGTCCACTGATTTAAAAAATGGAATTTTATTCTATTCAATAGAATTTGTATCAAAAAAATTGTTCAAACTCAACATCATTTCTGATTTTTTTCCTACATTTAATACATTTTAATTTCATACAGTTTAGCAATGGCTATTGTAAATATTGAGATTTGAAAAGGGAAATAATTCTTAATTTAACGTTTTACATTAATAGTCTTCACCTGTCATATTTCAAAATAATTTTTCGTACATTGTTGCGAAAATGTGTTTGCTAGTCTCTATCACCACCTTGTGAATTATAAACATTCATGATTTTTAATATATTTCCCAATGTTAACAGGTCAAGCCTCAACGCAAAGCAAGCAGCAGAGATCATGAACAAAGCAGGAACTGGTGGTGGTGGGAGCAGTGGTGGTTTGAGTCAACCTAGAAATTCAGAGTTAAGAAAAAGCAGGGATGACTGGAGGTATGTGACCTTATCCATGATTTCACCTTGGGTTTCTTCAGAGCTCATTAACCCTGTGCCACTGTTTGATTGATAACCAGTATTAGTGTTTCGTCCCTTTCTTTGCTCTCAAATGCTGATTCTTTGCTTCACTTTTTTGTACAGTATGTACAGTGTGTTTTTTTTGCTGCTACGAAAATTCCACTTTTAAAATATCGACATTGAGAACATTTTCATGGGTGGGAGTTCGAGAGAGAATTTATTGTCTTTTTCATGTCTCACCTCCACTGGCATTTTTACTAGTGCACAAAAATACGTATTTCTGCTCAGGATGAACATCTTCCTTCATTTAATATAAAAATCTTATTCTAACTTAAAACCTGACTGCTGAGTTGTAATAATCCGGTGCTCCAGAAGTATTCACACCAAGATGTCGCACAACCTGAATCCCAACCTGTACACACACATACTATGTTCAGGTTGTGCGCCATCTTGGTGCGCATACTTCTGGAGGTCCAATAATCCTGACCGTTATCTAAACGTTTAACAAGTGCCATTTATTCTAGCAATAACAACATCAAAAGCCAGAGCTTGCCCGGTTTCAACAACACCATGTCCACTGTGTCACCTGGTCGAGGATCAAAGGTCAGGGATGAAAGTTCAACGCCACGAGAAAGCAGGAAATCAAAAAGCACAAATAGAACCTCAGAAGCAATGAATCAGAACAGTAACCATAGAAACGACATCATGGATTACTTTGATGTTGATGCATCATACATTGACCCAAGGCATGCACCCCAGAACAGGGCTCGGAGCAGGTCACCAGCCCCAGATAGAGGGTCAAAATCTCTCTCACGGTACAGTACAGACAATAAACGACAAAGCAATAACCCAGAAATCAAAATCACAAAATCCAGCAGTTCTGATTTAAATAATACCTATCCTGGATCAAGAGACTCAAAAAGTGGAAATTTACGAACTTCAAAAAATAATTTATCATTACCCGGGGGGAATAAATCACCCCCGAGAAGTCCGACTGAGCGAAGAAGCAAAACCCCAACTCCTGGGAACCTGCGTTCCTCTTCAACGAGTGCCTTGTCACATGAGTACTCCCCACCGCGTCGCTCCGTGACCCCTACCCCCACGTCGACCTCAGAGCGGCGAGCGGCTCTTAGTGTATCTCGATCAAAAAGCCCAGATCCAGACAGAATGCTACGTACTAGTACAATAGAGGAGAAAAGAAAATCAACCACTAGAGGGACCAAAGGGCCACCGTCTTCGTACAGGTTAATATGAATAACTTCTGTTTATCATTTGTTTCACTTATTTCAGTTTTGTTTTCTTAATTATTCTCACGAGATGGCTTAATCATTATTTTATTGAGGCGAGTCACATATGTGGTTTGAACAAGACTCTGGATAGGTATTCACTGATGCGCAACCTGGTTTTGTGAAGGGCTGAGATATTTAAGTTTAGCATTGCGTATTTTATCACACATCAGGTCTGACAAGGGTAAACCATGGCTTGTGGTCCTAATCCGGCCTGTTGGGTATTTCAATTTGGTCTACCTGATGCTGCCACAACCAAACCAAAACCAAATATTGATGTTTTAACTGGAAAATAGTTTAAGGAATTTGTTGAGATTGCGATTAAATTTAGTTTGGGCGCGAGGCTTATTGTTTTCCACTTTTGCTTTTGTAACACTTCATAATAATAAAATGTAACATTTTACGCCACACGTACATGGCCCGCCAGTGTAGATAAGAAAATTTTTTGGCTGTTGGTCTGAAAATCTTGCCCACCTCTGCCCTAGATGAGATGGTAGACATGGGGTTGGTCTTAAACTCAGATGTATCAATTTTGCACCCTTCAGAAACTCCGAAACGCTACCTCGAAACTACAAAACGACTGAGAAACACCCAAAACTGGAAACAACAAACTCTCGTCCGTTAACGCCGAGATCAACAAACACTGATAGGAGATCAGCTTCAACAGACAGAAGATATAACTCATTACCGCGACCTTCCTCTGCAATGGCTATACATAGAGATGATGAAGTTGGTAGGTGTAGATCTAATATAGTGGTTCTCAAACGCTGGGGGCGGCCCGCAAGCGAGGCATAGACAATTTTCAAACGACTGGGACGCGTAGACAATTTTTTGAAGGGGCGTGAAGCTAATTGAAAATAAAAATATTTGTTAGATTTGATCTTACTCTCCTTATTTTGGACATTTACATTTGGGTGCTCCCGAAGTATGCGAACCAAGATGGCGGACATCGGAACGTAACAGGTTAGGGTTAGGCGATAATTTTTTTCTAATTTTCCTTATTTTAGTCCTATTATCAGTTCGAAGACTAGCCAAGAGCCTCCTGTAGTTATACCTAAAATTATGGCCTAACCCTAACCTAGTACACATATTACATTCCGATGTCCGCCATCTTGGTTCGCATACTTCGGGAGCCCCTACATTTGTTTATTCTGGATATTTACGTGCCATTCACGTATTTTCAACATTTATGTGAATAAAACATACTTCCGCCTTACTATTTTTTATTTACAGCTCATTGTTAGCTAGTTATTATTGAGGTTGGGTGTGAGACTTGACAAATTCTAAAAAGGCATTTGCGCGTCTTGAAAAGTTTGAGAACCACTGGTAGAGATATAATAAGTATTTCATTTTGAATGAGTTGACACTTGAACTTCTGTTTGTGTATGATTGTACCCAAAAGTTTCTGCAATCTAGGACGCTCTGCACAAAAGTTATGTTCTCTCTAGAACAGTGGTTCTTAAACTGGGGGGAAGGGGGGCGCAAGATGATTTCAGGGGGGGCGCGAGAGGTCACAAAATGGAATCAGAAATTTCCATGCAACGGCTCCTAAGAACGATCTCCGCGTTGTGTTAAAAATGCCGGCTTTTTCACATTATAATAAATTTTTCTGTCTCGTAATATTCAATCTATGTTAACAACAAGAATTCAAAATGTCTCTCTATTTTAATTATTTTGTGTCCAAGGTAACCCCGAAATTCCGCGATACGGCTCCTGCATGGGTCAGTCGTTGAGATTACGCCACTCGTTAGAAGGGCCGACTTTTTCAATGGATATGTAATGGTTTTTGTGATGGTTGAATAAAATATTAGATCCATGACCGATATACATATTTAAAATGGTTGCTTTATTTATTTAATTGTAAATAATTACCTTGCGATTGCTTTAATAAAACAAAAGCACCCCTACCCCAAAATACCACGGCAATCCGCAGACATAAAAATGTGTTGTAAACTGCCAGATTACATTTGGTTTTGATTCATATTCGCTGCAACTCTTACTCCGCCCAATTGCAATGCTGCTACATGATTAATTTTCAGATATCATTGTTAGAGAAATTCCCAAGTTTGTGATAAATCCCACGGAGAAAAATTCATTTCAAGTCGGTAGTTTTAGAACATTACAGGTGTGCCGCAGGCACAAAGAATTTATGAGGTTTGCAACGTCTAAGAAAGTGTTTTTAATCTGCCGCGGCTGACGAAAACAATCGGATATTTAAACAAAATGCAATCTCAAACGTCATGCTACTTTATTTTTCAGCGGTCAAGGTCGGGGAATCGTCCACATGCATAATAACTTTTAGAACTTCTTTTCTTTTTGTACATATATTCATTTACACTTCTCCATTTTGTAAACTGTATACTTGAACCTGGTGGTTGTCCAAGGGTATTGGAAGTGAATTTTGGAGACGTTAGGCAAGCCAAGAAGTCTGTTATTATTGTGTGTTTTAAACCCACAGATCAACCTGCCCATCACAAAAGCAGATTTTCAAAGAAAAAAGGGGGGGGCGCGAAGTTTATAAAATTTTTCAAAGGGGGGCGCGACTCAAAAAGTTTAAGAACCACTGCTCTAGAATATGTTACAAATGACCTGGGTTCAGTTTTGGGGTCACCCTGAAAAAGTGCAACACTTAAATATTTTGACATGAATGTCTTATTAAAGTGTTCCCATAATTGTATATTAACGACAAAATATTATCGAGTCCCGTAGTGCTCAAGTGAAATTTGATAATATTAGATCGTTAATATGTATATTATATAAAATTTGTAAACACGTAGGCTTGAAGAATAAAAGTAAAATGTTAACCATTCTTCCTCATTTCTGCCTGATTTTCCTTTGAAATGCTAAAAAAAATTACTCATGTTCGATACTAGTGCGCCACGGCGCACCCTTGTGGAAACCGCTGTAGTAAAAGATCTATAGAACCTGTCAATATCATATTTTATGTTCTCAGATTCTGGTAGAAAATCAGCAACCTTGTCAGCTACCAGGGGAAGCGCACATCACAAAAGTATGCAGGTACGACTTACACATGAGTTGCCATTTTTGTACTGTACTATTCTAGCTTTGTTTCGAGATGAACGTTGGTAACCCACTTGTCATCTGCTTATCCTGCAATAGCTTGCTGGTTGAAATCACAATTTCTCAGGTTTACCTCACCATAGTAGTTCATGCATCTCGAATAATTAATGGGATAGCCTTTCTAACTACCGGTACTCAATTTGAGTCGGCAATCGAATGAAAGGCTTCGTTTCACCATTTTAATAAGCAGAATATTAGATTTTCCGTTCCTCTAGGGCAGAAGTCGGCAACCTACAGCCCACGGGCTGGATCCGGCCAACGGAGTATTATAATCTGGTCCGCGACGCTTCACTGAATTACTGTAAAAAAACAGTTGTTTTGACGATAATATTCTTTACGTACCAGAATTTATTGTGAGACACGTATAGACTAAATTATATTATAACCTAATGAGTATGTAATTCACAATTACCCGTTTTATAATTTATCGTTTTATTAAATTTATAAAGACAAATGGCAACAAAATGCAGAAAAGTTGATGCTAAGTGCAAAGTGTCAATGTCGCCAAAAAAATTCATATGGAATTTTTTTAGATGCAATGCAATGAAGAAATAAATCTATATTCTATTCGAGAGATGTAAAGCTGCTTGGTTTCTATTATAAAAAGTATAATTCGTTCGGTTTTCAACTTTCTAAAAATATGTGCGGCCGGTCAATGACTTGCAACCCTTAATTTTGGCCCGCGAGTGACAAAATGGTTCCCGACCAGGATATATACAGGATAATATTTAACCATCTCAATCTCATCAGTTTGATGTCTACTCATTTCCTTGCAATAAAACAATACTTTTTTACTTGTTTCAGGATGTACGCGATTCGAGACCAGCACGTCCAAAATCAGCTCTTGGAATCTATTCCTCAACAAGCAATCTTTCCACTGTGCCATCCAGTACTAACAATGCAAAGAATCAAGGAAGAAAAACTGTGGCTTCAACCACTGCAAATAATTCTATGCAAACGTAAGTCTAAATGTAATAATATTTTCCAGTAAACTGGGGGACAGTAAAACCGATACAAATAAATAGAGATATATTTCAAAGTATTTTGTAGTCAGTTAGGAAGGCAAAGCTAATAGACTGCAAACAATTCTATGTGTAGGTAAGTCTAAATAGGGCGATTTTGTATTTGTAGGGGGGAAGTGAAGCTGATAAGACAGTATATCTATGCAAAATGGAGTGTAAATAAAATCAGATAGGTAAATGGGTAGAAAGGAAAGTGGAAAAACTGTATAAGTATCAACTAGTACAAAGGTGGGTCTTAATAGGATGAGATTTTGTAGTTACCCAGAGAGAAAGGTGGTTTAGGCTTGGTGGACATGGACCACCATCAAGTCCATGCATCTAAAACAAATAACTGTGTAGCTAATCCCATACCCGACATGGAGTGGTAACCATACGAGAGGTTGTGATTCTCGATATGATTAAGTCATCCTATCCAATACTTCCTCCCGGGGATAAATAGGGAAATCCTGATAGGAAAGATGATAAAACAGTATAATTACCACTCGCTGCAAATAATTTTTTGCAAAAGTACCGTAAGTCTAAATATCATAAGTTTGTATTTGGAGGGGGAGAGTAAAGTTGGTAAGCCGGTATATTTGTGCAAAATGAAGTCTAAATAAATTAGATACGTATCTGGGGAAAATTTTTGAGGGAAAGTATCAGAGGTTCAAATGAAAAAAATTTCAATTTAATATCTGCGAAATGTAATTGGCGTGTTGACCTATCGCTACTTTCGTTTTTGACTCTCTTGCGTTAGTTTTAGTTACATCCTCGCCACTTTAGGGCAGTCACGCTCCAAGAATCCTTATTCAAACAAATATTTGATTTAAAATGAAATAATAATCAATCGTCAAGTATTTGATAACTTTCCTAACACAAGACCCACTCCTGAAACCTTAAACAAACATAACTGGCCTTTTAAATGGTATTTTACCAATACCAACAATATTTATACAACTCCTAACAAGTCAGGGCAAGATGGCGTTATAAGTAGTCAAATGAGGGCTGCAACACTTCAAAATATTTTGATTTTGATCGAGTACGATACATGGTTAAGTTTTGGAGAATTTTGATCATTTATCATTGAATCAGGCTTGTTCGAAGATAACATTTTTTTTGTTGTGTGGTTACAATAGCAAATCAGAATAAGGAATTCCAACTTATAATGACTAACCCATAGTGTTCACTTTTAAAAAGTTTATTTATTTTTTAATGAAAATTTGATGAATTTGAACTACATTTTAAGCTTTGACTGTTGTATTTCTAATAATTTAACAGTTACATTTGCAAAATTGTATAAGTAATTTGGTACCAAAGAGAACAAAAATTATCAAAAAATTGAATGGTAACACTTTTTTAAATAATTCTTCTTTTATGATTCTGTAAACCAAGGTTGTCTGTTTTACAATCATTTTATGCGTAATGGATTGTAATTCTGTCTGTGAGAGTTTGAGGAATTTATTATTGAGGTTTTATTTAGCTAGTGACTGTAGTTTTAGAAATTTCTTTTTTCTTAGGATGCTGTATTGCACAGCATAAGATTTTATATTTGTATTTCGAGAGAAAGGATTTTTTTCGGTGCTCTCGAAGTATGCGAACCAAGATGGTGGACATCGGAACGTAACATGGGTAACAGGTTAGGGTTAGGCGATAATTTTTCTCCATTTTTCCTTATTTTAGTCCTATTATCAGTTCGAAGACTAGCCAAGAGCCTCCCGTAGTATTTATACCTAAAATTATGGCCTAATCCCAACCTAGTACACAGATTACATTCCGATGTCCGCCATCTTGGTTCGCATACTTCGGGAGCCCCTTTTTTTTTTAACAGATACTGTTGCACAGCTTAGGATTTAATATTTATATTTCGAGAGAGAGGAAAGGTGAATAAAAGATTGTTTCTTATGAGGACGGTAGTCTGGTTTGGCATATTTTATTTATTTTTGCGATGGGAATTTCATTGTTGAAGTAATATTTAGCTATTGGTCTGGAAGCCTGGCATTACCGTACTTATTTTATCTTGCATACTACAGTAGGATTTTGCTCTAGCAAGGCATGAGGAAAGTGGAACATATTGGCAGAAAACTTGGTAGTGGAGGATGTTGCAACTGACCAGCGATGATTAAATGTAAAAAACAATTCATCAGAGAATTATTCTGTAATAAAAAGTTATCAAGTGCAAGCATCTTACATAGTGGTTTAAGCGCATTCTAATTTTGTTTTCTAATGTTTGGCATATCTTGAACCATATGCTCTGGTTACCCTTGCAACACTGATTACTATGTTGGAGTTGAAGATAGAAGGCCATGCTTTAAGGACCAATTAACTGGTCACTTATTGCAATACCAGACATGGACTGGTAACTAGGCAAAATGCTATGGTTCAACGTATGTATTATGAGTGTTGTCTTGTCAAGTTTTTCTTGAAATAAAAATGACCGACCTTTATTTGCGATCAACAGTCAATTTACTTTGTTTTCTCAGATTAAACACTAAGAATCGTTCCCAGTCTATGGACAACCTGCCCAAGCAGTTATCAACTCCTAGTCCAAGTGTTACTCAGAGGAATATGTTCTTTGAAAGGTAATTCTAACATTATAAAGTATTTTACAGTCTCTGACCATAAACAACAATATGTGTAGCAATCGGGCTGCTAATACATTAAAAACAAATATTTTTGTAAAACTAAAATTTTCAGATTGGCTTTGCCTACACAATTTAAAACACTGGTGTCATAACTGGGGTCTTAACCCAAAGGCTTTAGAAATCAATCAATCAATCAATCATCATTTATTCGTCAACACAATCAATATAAATATATCACGGAAATATGGCAAGATATTCAATAAGTAAAAAAAGAACTTCATATGTGTGACAGGAGTCGCGAGGGACCACGAAAGGTCTTCGAGCAGCGACACCTACGATGCTGATTCAGCTTAATAAATAAATTTAGTTAACGCCTATGCTTCTAATCATTATTATTTACAAAACATAAAAAACATGACATCAAACAATTGAATAATATGTGTATATAACAAATTTGAAAAACATGAAAACCACCAAATAGCTATTACAAACTTCTTTATATATATATATGAAGGAGAAAAAATCCAAATTCAAAGAGAAACCAATCATAATAAAAGTAGATGAAACTCTAATAAATGTACAATTAGGTTTAGAAACCAATGTGCCAGGTCATTATGTCCACATTCATTGACTGGTAGGGATTAATTCTAGAGATATCATCTTCATAATCCATTTTTTACAAGGCTTGTATAACAAGCCCTACTGTTATGTAAATACTGTTTTTCTAATTTTGGTATAAGTTGATTTTGACTCCATAATCAGCTTCATAGTCGATAAAATAATTGATGAAAACAAAATAAATAAAACTGATTGTGAAATCGGGAGAGTAAACAAAACCCTATATAAGGTTTAAAACATACAGATTTTAGATTGAAAGGTATTGTTAAAAGACGGGTGCTCCGGAAGTATTCGTACCAAGATGACGCACAACCTGAACAACCCTAACCTGGTAAACATACTATGTTCAGGTTGTGCGCCATCTTGGTACGAATACTTCGGGAGCACCAGAAGAAGTACTACGTGTTCGTTATCTGACCTGCTTATTTATCAAACTCTGGGAGATCGAGTTCGCTTATCCTCCACTAATATCAACCAGGAAATGTGGGCAATACAGAATCCGAAAATTTCTTTTCAAAAATAGGATCTTTGTATGTGGAAGCTTGTTTGAAGCCTTGCTCGGAGTGAGAGTTTCAAAACACCTCATAACAAAATTCTAGGTTGAATGTGTATTGCCCAAAACAAACTCTATTTTATGTAGACTGTATTTTAAAAGTTTGTGCGAAACTAGAAACCTTTTGTACATACTGTTTGACTTACCAAGATGAGTAATCATTTTGCTGGTAATTTCCCTGTATGGGTTTAAGTGATGGGGAGTAAATTAATAAAATTCTGTGGTTATAGTATGATTTTTCATTTGGCCTCAAACAGTCTATGATGACAATCTTTGGGTCAACTCTCCATTGTAATGTATCTTATTATGAAAACACAATATGCTATTGTTGTATAACAATTGAATAAAGAATAATAAAAGTTTGGTAAACATTCGTCCTCCATTGAATGAATTTGACTAAATTATTTTTGCAATGGGTGGTTGCTTTGTCCCTATTCAACAGGAGTGTGCCGCCCATGGCAAGAGCCCTACCTGCCATACCCTGGACCCCTATCAAATAGTACAAAGTGCACACAAATGGACATCACAGTAATACTAAATGAGTGAAATACACGCGAAGTTTTCAGTAATTCATCGCTTTTTCAAATGTTGTTCAAGTCCAATAAGAACCAGTATTTTATCCAAAAGTTTGCTGTTTCGTTTTGCTAAAAGTCAGACACTTTCCATGATTTGAGGCATCACTGTACTGTATTTTAGCATTGTTCTCTTGTTTTATGTAAGCCAGTGGTTCCCGAACCCTGGCCCACGGACCAGTTACGGCCCACCTAACGATTTAATATGGCTCGCCGAACTGAATTCAAGTCGAACTTGTAACGTGATTATCACAGGCTAAGCCCGTTTATATCCGTATTCATATATATATAATCATTATATTCGATTATATATTCGAATTGAATTCAATTATACCAGTATCATAATAGGCGTTGATATCGGCACGTTGCGAAGCTTCTCTTTCCTGACACGCGAATATCCTTCCACTTCTAATTTTGGACTCGGTCAATCAAATTTGGGATCCGCTGATGTGAATGATGAAATATATGCTGTTAACGGTTCCATTTAACGGAACCATTAGGTTCTTTGACATGATTCTTTTTTAATAACTTATGTTCGACTTTTTTTCTTCACGTGTTAATTACTATCAGGCATAACCACGGGTGTCACTGCCCAATAACCGGTATTGTTCTTTTGGCCCTTCTTTCACACTGATATCACATTTTAACATTTTCATTATGTTATCAGGTTAAGTCGACCAAAAACGGCTCCCAAGAACAAGACAAGAAGCAACATAGTAGATGAAAACGTCCTATTGGTTGAAAGAAAGGGAGAAGGAAGTCATGTTGTGCAGAGGAACACAGTTCAAAGGTTAGAGGTCATTTCTATAAATTGGAAAGTTTTTTATCAGAGATGACCAGGACTGATATTCTACAATTTCAATGTGATCTAGATAAAATAGGATTTACATATTTATTCCGAAGCAGAGGTAAGTCTTATATGCGCCTTAATCATATGGAGAACCACGTCCTCTCGTGCGGTTACCGGTCCATGCCGGGCATGGGATTAGTTAGCCAGTTATTTGTTTTCGGAAGCATGGACTTGTGATCTGAAATATTATTTTAGCGCTCAACCAAATAGCATGCAGAAGTCAATGTAGTATATTCAATGACTCCGAATCAGGAATATTGAAAAAGTTAACATATACACGATTTGATTGAATGAGGCAATTCTGAATTATTCCTCGAATTAAAAATTAAAATGATTGAATATGATGAATCATTTTGAATTGATTTGAATTTTCGATAAATAGCCAAGTAGCAGTCAGTTTTAAACGAAATCGGGATTCCATTTCGTTCTAAAAATAAGATATTTTGAATGTTTCTAGGGAAAAAAAACATTTATTTTCCTATTCAGGCCAGATTCACCAAGAGTGGAACCACATCATTCCAATCACGATCATGCAAAGTTGATTCGTGAAAGCAGCACCAGTAGCGATACCAGCTCTCAGAGGTAGGAATTCTGTATGGTATTTAGCTATAAGTAGGGGGAGATTTTGGTTCTATTACGAGTTCCGGGACTGTCTGTGTTAGCCAAGTGAATATACCCCCTGCCTATAGATTTTAGTCCCTTTACACAACTTGATGTAAATTAGGCGAACAAAATTAGTTACCTCTATATTGGTACACACACTTCTGGAGCGCCGTATTTTATATGTATTGAATTAGATTCTTTGACATAATGTTTCAAATATTCAAGTTTCGACTTCTTTCTCTACTTGTGTGTAAATTACTGTAAGACATACTGACGGGTGCCTGTTAACCAGTATGGACCTTTCCCCGAGCACCGACTTCCTTGTTTACTTCGTGACATTGCCCAATCAGCAAGATGCAAAAAGTGACGTAACAATACCACTCTGTCTTCTTAGGAGTTTTAATTTAATTGCAGTTATAAAAAATTAGTGTAGAAATAGCTGTGATAGACTAGGCTAAAATTCTTTATCGGTACTTTTAAAAAACAGATTGTTGTGTGCGATGAATCGTAATGATGGTTTGAAACACATACCCCATTTTAAGGCGCCAACTCGCAAAAGCACTCTTAAAATAGCCCCGAAAATTTTGCAATGGTAAAGTATAGGATGAATTTTCCGGGGGTCAAAGGTCGGGGAAAGGTCCATTGGTTGTTTGGCCCACTCTTCACCCTGATATGCCATTTTTTCATTCTTGCTTCAACACAAAATTCCTACAAGGTATATTATCAGCATGATGAAAAAATAAACTACTGATTACTGATTACACATTTATGCCTACGTGACAAATAAAATGTAAATTTCGCACTCAGGAAGTATGTGTACCAATATGGAGGTACGGTAACTAATTTTGTTCGTCTGATTTACATCAAGTTGTGTAAAGGGACTGAAAGCCATGGGCAGGGGTATATTCATTTCTCAAACACAGACAGTCCCCGATCTCGTAATCGAAATAAAATAATGAAAATTGAAATAAAATTATGGCCTAACCCTAACCTGGTGCACACTATGGAAGTACCAAATTTTGTTTTAACATAATAATATGATAGAATTCGAAACCTAACTCTCTTTTTCAGCGCTCATCAGCAACAACCAATCACTCCATCAGATCTACGATTACGAATCAATCGCAACGAGCCTGAGAAAAGGTCATATAAAGTTCAAGGGTCATCTGTGGGGTCAACACCTTCACCGTCGAGAGATTCCGCTCTAGCAAGTAGTTTGAGGTAAATATCCCTAATCATCTTTTTATTCATTCTTTTGGAGTTCCTGGATTGGCCAGAGCTGAAAACTGTTTAAGGACATCTGCAAAGAAAGCTGAACATGTGATTAAGCTTGACGTGTACAATCTAAATCAGTAAATCAGGGGTTGTCCGCTTCGCGGGCTACAAAATTATTTTTGCATTGTTCGCGGGCCACAATAGTGCTAAGAATAGGTAAATAGTGCAATACAAAGCAAACACTTTTATTGTGCAAACACATAGTTATCAGACATAGCCATCCCGAGCTAATAGAATCTGCATTCGATTTCTAGTTTTCTATGATGCCTATATTGTAAGCATATATTCCCGACCAAAAAGATAGAAAGCCAGATAATAGTTTAGAGTAGACTGCCAAGCAAATCATTCAACTTTGCTAGTTGTCTCAGCTAGCCATAACACTAGTTAATTCAGTGACATTATTGATGTAACAATATGTCAAAAGATTTTTCAGATTAATTTGATTACGAAACAACACGATCGGCGATTTTTTAATTACTCTCCGAATGTGGCGCGGGCCACAGATAATAAAGCGGCGGGCCACATGTGGCCCGCGGGCCTGGGTTTGAACCAATCTGATCTAAATCATCATGTGTTTTCTGCATTATATGATGCACATGTGCAACTACCTTCCTAGGCTCTGGTCCATATACAAAAAAAAACTATGAGTTAGCAAAATATTTGACGAGGGACATCTGATTCCTGGATGTCAATGAATCAAACATTTATTTGCAAACGCTTGCCTGTTGCATAGCACTATGTGACAAGTCTTTTTGTGTGTAGGATTTCACAAAACAAATAAATCTCTTATTTTTGACAGGTTGAGTGTCAGTATGACTGGTTCACCTGAATCCCCGTCATCCCGAGTATCGTACTCTTGGACACCCGATAGTGGTGGAGATGAGCTCGATTCGCCATCTAGTGGTCATCCTGCACATACTCCCAAAATAATTGATCGACGGAAACCTAACGATTCACATCTAAAAGCTCCACCGAAACGCAAAGTATCTAAAGAAGAAGTAATACATGTATGTCCATAAATTTATTCTTTCAAAATTCTTCTTTTTTATTTGTTTGTTGTTGGCTAATAGCCATAAGCCATATATATTTATATTTGTTCGTAAATTTGTCACCATTTCTAAGAGAAATTCCTTCCTTCATTTTTTAAGATTGTTCAAAACCCTTGAAGTCACAACTGTTAATGTCACCAATAGTTTAGCATTTAATCAAATATTCTCGTGGTGTGCAACCTGCGGCTAACAAGAAAAAATTGTGCGAATCTTAAAGGATCTGCGGCCCGCGAAGCGAATTTTTAATTCAGTTAAATCTGGTTCATGCGAATAATTACAATCCCTTCACGCCAATACCTGAATTCAATTTATTATGTATGCCTAAGATTACAATGCCATGACAACTAACTTGTGCAAAGCGAACAGCGCATGTCGTAGGATCAATAACTAAATTTTTGAAATTACTGGAAACTACTGGAAAGCCCATCTTAAATAAAGGTGCAGCCCGTGGTTTCACCCAGTCATTTGCATCTAAAGATTGTACACCTCTGATATATCCAATATTGACGGTCATTACCATTAGGGCCATATTCATAAATATATTTAAGGTTTCAAAGGCATTCGGAATCTTCCATGTCTACACTAGTAGTATCATCTCACTTATAAATTTTTCCCAAGTCCTGTGAAAAAATTTTAATATTGTATTTTGCTTTGCAAGGTCGTTCGGAATCCTGAAGGTCACCACCAGTGGGAGCACACTGATGCAAGTATTGAACAAAGTCAGGAATACATTGAAATGAGTCCTTACAAAGATCAACTTTCTCCGAGATCAAGTCGCAGTGAGAAACCGCTAAGGTCATCCTTAAGGAAAGGGTCTTCCTCATCTGAGTCATCAGGTATGGGGGGGAGATGAAATAAATATTTTGGGGATTTCCCTAAAAATGGTTTGGTATTCAAAATTTCTCCATACCATTTTTTTTGTTTTTGGATTTTTTAAATTTGTACAATGAGCACCAATTCATCATAGAGCATTACCAATTATAAGCCAATACTTGCTTCTAAATTGGACTCCATTCTTACAAATTCTTGATATTATATTCTCATGGAAGATTAAATTACTTTGAAATATAAAATTTAGTCAAGGTAGATTTAACTGCTAATCGGACGAGGTGTCATATTTTCTTTTCATCGTCTTTTCTCTCTTCTGGATACACTCAACTAGGTCTATTAATCTAGGGTTACCATATCTGACAAGACAAAATCTCTGACAAAATTTTAATATGACACGTTGACCAATTTTGCAAACAAAACACTTATATTGGTATATAAATTCTTAATATTTCCAAAGGCACAAGCTGCCGTCGCTTTCTCGTGAGAATAGAATAAATACAGAACAAAACGAATGTTGCAAAATTGTTGCAACTAAATCAAATGCAGGTTGTTTCTGTGAACTATAACATTTATTAAAATAGCACAGAGTAACGGAATGAAGTACAGGTTACAAATATCTGACGATTCAGATCATATGTGACAGCTGTCACATTATTTGAACAAACTTCAATAAAAAATATGTTTTTCAGCTATCAGTCCAGGGAATAGAAACCCTCCACCTTCTAACAGCCGTGTCAGTAAAGCGCAAATAACGATTGGAAAACCAGCTCGAACATCTACGCCGGTAAATAACCGGATCAGCACAGCGAGAGAGTTGCAGGTCGCGAGTCATAATTACAGACCGAAGAATGAGGTTGGCTCGACTTCATCCAGTTCTATGGGATCTACAAGATCGTCCATGTAAGTTTCATTGAATTTTTCACATTCTGATTTTTTGTCAAAATTTGCCTTATTCAAGCAGAAGAAAATTGCTTGATAATTAGCTTTGGCTCTCCTTGCCTTCTCCAGTAATATTGTGCACTCAACTTTTTCCCTAATTTTTATTACTATCGTTTTATATTTTACTGACTGGAAAAAATACCTTGACTTTGCCTATGACTTTCAGAAAGTTTCACCCATAGAAAATTTCTCCGACGGAATATTTCACCTAGAAAAAATTCAGCTCTAAGCCTCATTAAAAGGATTTTTGAATTGATACTTTGTGTAATGTAATATGGAAATTTTCCACACATTTTGCAACACATTCCAATTTTGATCACAAATCTAAGTTTACAAATGTCAATCAATGTTTTTACTGTGTGGTGTAAACAGTGCAACCCTTATAAAAAGTCGCAGAATCATAGCCCACCCGAAAATCAACCGAGCATGACTGGTCAGAATCGATCAATATGTCAGAATATATATTTTTCAATTGTTGTATCCATGCATTCAGAGATGGAAATCGTAGGAAAGGAAACAGTTTGACAGATGAAGTTCGAGCGATGTTATTCACAGAAGATGGGAAGCCTCGACCTTCAAAATATAAGTAAGAAGTGTTTTAAAAATATATGTCTAAATGGATACTCCCAAAGTATATAAACCATAGTGGCAGACACCGGAACGTAGTATGTGTACCTGGTTAGGGTTAGGTCATAATTTTATTCCCATTTTTCCTTTTTTGAGTTATATAGAAAGATATTTACGAAATAAAATAGTGAACAGTCTCCCTGTTAATATTTTTTTTTGTCTGAAGAAGTTATAGTATGATCTAATGAAAGATTACAAATATATTTTGTGTAAAGAGAATATTCTTATTACTTATCGATTTTAATCGGTACGCGATATCTCATGAAAGCGAGATTGAATCTGCTCCAGATTTTGCATGTGCATTCATCATATGTCGGACCAGAAGCCTATTGATTTTGAATGAATTATGTCGTATAATTAGCAAGTTATTAATTAATCATTGACCAAGTGATCTAGATTTTTGTGAAGCGAGAGAATATTGAGATCCGCCGAGTGTGTGTGTGCGGTGCGCAGTGCGCAAGTTACAATAGCGGATGAATCGAAACCACAGTTTCTGTTTTGGGGGATCCCCTAACTCTCGATCGATAAGCCTTCGGTTTCCAACCGATAGTCTCGTTTACTATTTGTATTGATTTTAAAATATTTATTTTTCAGCACCAAACGTCCAACTACACCGCACACTTCAACAACACCCCGATCAGCATTGAAACAAAGACCTGTGACCCCAAGAAGTGAGACACTTCCTCGACCAAGCAGAGCACAAGCTCGACCTACGACCCCTGTGGCTCAAACTCGAACCTCAACGCTAAGAATGAGACCAAAAACACCGGAGAATAGACGAGGGGTTCTAACAAGACAGGAGAAATTAAAGTCTTGGGATGGACCCAGCCCTAAGTATGATTTCCTAATCCTAGACTTCCGTCCATGCTTCCGAAAACAAATAACTAACTAATCCCATACCCGACATGGACTGGTAACCGGACGAGAGGCCGTGGTTCGCCATATGGTTAGGCCGTCTTATATACTTTCCTCTTCCCCAGGATAAATATGTAAAATCCTTATCTTTAGATCTTGGTCTGGTTTTTCCATGTTCAATTTGTTGGCAGCTGGCAGTGCTTATCAATCTCTTTGCCAAAACGGAATTGGTATTTTTCGGAAACCTTGTTTACAAATCTCTGGCTCAATCCTATGCCAACCATCTAACCTAGGGTGTACTATATTGGGTAGGCAATGGTAAACCAGAAGGATTCCAGTTCTTTCAAATAATAGTATCTCCATGAATATCAGTGACTGCTTATGCAGAGTTTTTTTCATAGCAAATGGCAAGTAGAAATGCTGTATAAAAATTAAATGCCTCAGCGGTATGTCCCATCAAGTGTTAGGAATAGCTTTCCCCAGCACCTCTGATTAACCAGCGTGGGTTCGACTCTCGTGGGGGGGATAAATATGTGCTAGAGGATTTTTGTACTTCTCGTCGTCGTAGAGTGGTTCACGTAACCGCTGGGCAGTTACGGCTTCCTCCATCATGCATCGTAAAACTGGCTAACTAATTCCATACCCGACATGGAGACATGGACTGGTAACCGGACGAGAGGCCGTGTTTCGTCATATGATTAAGTCGCCTTATCGGCTTTCCTCTCCCCTGGGATAAATATGTAAATCCTATCCTAAATACTTTGGAAGATTACTATCACCAATGAGTATTTCAATGATCGCTTCGGGATACCTACTGTTGTTTTTATTCTTTTATGTTTTTCAGTAGCAAAATAATACTACTAAGTAAGATTATAATGCTATCATAGACTCTCAAATCATATCGTTTTGGAAAACATCGTTTTAAAAGCATTGCCAAACGATATAAAAAGTAAAAAATTTCTATTAATTAAATTTAATCTGATTTGGATTCAGGAAAGAGCCAGAGGTTTCCCAACAAATTCAACCAAAAGACAAGGAATCCAGAATGCTTCAAGAAATGGAAAGAGAATTCGCTGAAAACCAGAAGAAATTGGCAGCGGCAGGGTCAGTAGAGTCAGAAGATAGAATCTCTGGGAATGAGAGTTTTGATCATATGAAGAGTCCTGTAGTGGTATGTATATTTTAGTTGGTACTTCCATACTATGTAAACTAAGATGGCGTACACTGGAATATAGTATGTACCAGGTTATGGTTGGGCCATAAATTCGGGTATATATACTACTAAAGGTCACTTGGCTAGTCCCTGAACTCGTAAATTGAAATAAAATTAGGGCCTAACCCCTACCTGGTACACATACTACGTTCCGGTGTCAGCCATCTTGGTTCACATACTTCGAGAGCACCTATTTTGTTTATTTTTATGTTGTTATGAGATGATTTCGCTCTGAACATGGTCCTTTATTTGCAACCACTGAAGGGTGGCTTGGGAGTTGGTGAATTGTGTGGAATGTCAGGAATCCATTTTCTATTGCACCTCTGATTACCCGGTACTCCCGTAGTTTGTGTACCAGGTTAGGGTTAGGCTATAATTTTATTCTGATTTTCCTTATTTTAGTTCTATTACGAGTTCAGGGACTGTCTGTGTTAGCCAAGAATATCCCCATGCCCATAGGCTTCAGTCCCTTCACACAACTTGATGTAAAGTGGGCAAACAAAATTAGTTACCTTCATATTGGTACACATACTTCTGGAGCGCCGATTTTCCTGCACAGGTTCAAATCCTGTTTGGATAAATATGTGCGAGAATATTGTTGAAATCATCGCTATCGTTGAGTGGTTTGCGTAACCTTTTGCCAGTATGACTCGCTCCACTGTCAAGTCCAAGCATCTGAAAAAAATATTTGATTAACTAATCCCATGGACTAGTAACCGGACGAAAGACCGCAGTTTGCGCCGTCTTATCAACTTTCCGCCCTCTAGGAATACCTATAAAAATTCTACTACCTACTGTATAAGAAACCAATATTACTTATTGATTTTAATCGGTAAGTATGTTGATAGGTATTTGTCTGTTTGTCTGTCTGTTTGTTAGATGCACGCGATATCTCACGAAGGCGTGGTTGAATCTGCTCCAAATTTTGTATGTGCATTCATCATATCTCGGACCAAAAGCCTATTGATTGGGCGAATTATGTCGTATAATTAGCGAGTTATTAATTAGTTAGTGATGGGACACGAGGTGTCACTATGGAATAAGAGCGCTGTTTGGGGGATCCCCTAACTTCCGATTGATAAGTCTTCGGTCTCTGACCGATTTTCTCGTTTTTGTATTGATCATGATCCTATTTTGCCTCTATTTGGCATTCCTTAGCATTTGACTTTTGTTCGAAGATAGATTATAAAATTTTTTAAAACCTGAAGTTACTAGTAAAAGCCAGAATTATTTTTAACTCAGAGTTGTGGTCGATTGAAAACTTTTTCCGGCTCCTCAGCCCAGGATGGTACACAACACTTTGATATAACTTTATTATCTTCTTTAATATATTTTAACTTTTCAGGAATACGACTACAATGGTCGTCGAATCCAGAAGAAACAATCTCGGAGCAAATCACCAGCTAATCTCAGACATAAATCAGCTGCTAGAATGGATTCTGTGGACTCAGAAGCAACGAATGTAAATGATTGTAAATGTGAAAAATCCTGTCCTATACTTCAAGATGGTCCACCTAAAAGACAAATCAATTTCCAAACTTACAGTCAAATGTGCTTAAGTCAAAATAAAAACCTTGCCAATCGAATTACCATGCATGGATTCGATCATGCTGGGGGTAATCGCTGATCGGTTACACAATCTCATCCGCCATTAAGTCCATGCATCAGAAAACAAATAACTGACAAACGAGAATATCGGTTGGAGACCGAAGACTGCGGTTTCGATTCATGACTCTATAGTGACACCGCGTGTCCCATCACTAATTAATTAATAACTCGCTAATTATACGACATGATTCATCCAAAATCAATAGCCTTCTGGTCCGAGATATGATGAATGCACATGCAAAACTTGGAGCAGATTTAACCTTGCCTTCGTGAGATATCGCGTGCATCTAACAGACAAACAGACAAATACCTATGCCCATACTTACCGATCTAAAGATCGATAAGTAATAACAACTCATCCCATACCAGACTTGTACTAGTAACTAAATGTGAGGCCGTGGTACGCCATGTAACTAAGCCCTCTTTCCTTTCCCCGGGACGAATATGTACGGTAACCTAATCCGTTCCATGCACAATTCCATAACAGGCTATAAATTGATTTGGTCTTTCATAATGCCTTTTCCAATATGGAAGATTCTTAAATGTGTGAGAAACAAAGGCCAAGTTAATAGCAGCAGGCTAAGCTATAGTATGAAGTAGTCTCATCAGCTTTCCTCTCCCCCTTTTCACTCTACCGAGTTCTAGATTCAAACGAATAAAAGTTCAGAAACAAACAAAACCTAAACTCAACCATGTTTTATTTACTTCAGAGATCATTTGAGACGGCAGACTCGTTAGCAGATTCAGAAGATTTTGAAGTTGCCATGGCGATGAGCGGTGGAGCGAAGCGTAATGCACCATCTACAATCAGAAGTCGAAGTGTTGATGATTTCCTAGATGACAGAGGACCCAGGCCAAGGAAGGATAGGTAAGCCTCCAAATGTATTAACGAGAATATCGGTCGGAAACCGAAGACTTATCGATCAGGAGTTAGGGGATCCCCCAAAACAGAAACTGCGGTTTCGATTCATCCGCTCTTGTAACTTGCGCACTGCGCATCGCACACACACACTCGACGGATCTCAAAATTCTCTCGCTTCACAAAAATCCAGATCACTTGGTCAATGATTAATTAATAACTCGCTAATTATACGACATAATTCATCTAAAATCAATAGGCTTTTGGTCCGACATATGATGAATGCACATGCAAAATCTGGAGCAGATTCAATCTCGCTTTCGTGAGATATCGCGTGCATCTAACAGACAGACATACAGACAATTACCTATCAACAGACTTACCGATTAAAATCGATTAGTAATAATGTTGACCATGGGGGTCAAGCCTGATAACTAATTTCAATCATAAGTTCCTTGTATTTGTGCTTTTTTTTAAGTAATATAAGTGTATAACACTCTAATGATTAGCCTTTGCATACACAGTCACCTAATAACCGTTAATCTTATGCATAACAGTGGATTTGGGGGGAGCTGACTTGGATGACTGTATGGTCGTATCGCTCCCTCCAGTCTTTACCAATAACATTGTTTAATTATTTGTATGTATGCCTTCATATTAACATTTGTTTTGGTTGACAAATCAATAAATCAATCTAACTATCAGGGGTTTTCAAACTTTCGAAAATGTGATAAATTGGGTATTGCCAATTCTAAATTGTGTCCTCTAAACTGCATCTGGCAAGGAAAGTTCTCCTCACAGTTTATTGTCTTAAACCTTGACTGCATTGCTGATATATTTTTGACAACCGGCTGATTTCAGCAATGCGTCATTTACTGAGCCATTACTGAGAAGTGTAGAAAATAAAAAATGCTGCTACTGTAAAATAAATACAATTTTCCCTTTATTGCTGATTTATGCTGCTTGTCTGTAGAATTTTTAAGGAAAGGCTAGAATCCTGAGGAGGGAGTGTTTAGAGCCTGTTTGTTTGTAACTCTTGTTATGATAGTTCAAAGTTTATTCAATATTTCAGTTTTTCTGATGAAATCATAGAATTATAAAAATGTGAGTATTGAGTTGGATTCTGATCAAAGGAAGCAATCTTGCTTGTTAAAACGTTTTTGATTCAAAATTATTTTGTTTTTTCTCAATTATGGTGATGGTCATAATTATCAAAAAGGGAGTGAATCGTGATTTTTGATGTGAAATAATTTGAAAAATCTGAAATGTTTTGAATTTTGAATGAATTATCTCAAGGGTAAGAGAAGCTGATAATATGGCTTAATCATATGCCAAACCAGGATATTTTGGATGAGCATAGCTTCGGTGAATTTAATAAACTTTGAATTTGTCTTAGCCAAAATTGCATAGATATGGGCTTGACAACTGTATGTAATCTTATTTGTCCAATCTCAAATATTGAAAATTCAGTATTTTTTTTCTGACTATTAAATACTTCAATTCTGATTTTAAATATCTTAAAAATGAAATAACTTTTGACAAATGTTTTAAAAAACTTGATTATTTTTATGATGAAATATGGTCTCATGCCAGTTTACGAATCTGGGTAGGGCAGCTGTATACCTCTAATAATTACCGATATTGAGAAAAGTAAAAATATGTCCCGATTTTTAATTTGCAAAAAATTATCAAAGAATGTGAAATTTTTTTGATTCTGTATATTTGCATAATAGGCTTGTTGGGCAAATAATTTTGCCAATTGATTGATGCTTGATTTTACGGGAAGTTTTTAAAAAGATATCTTGCAATATATTAAGAAAGGAGCCTAGTGCATCACTGAATATCAGCTTTCTATTTCTACACGCTATATATATATATATATACAGATTGGGCCGAAGAAATGTTACAATTTTTTACATGAATGTAAAAATTATATATACCGCATATGCTCGTTTTACCGCCCGATCCTGATTAAGGGCCCGTTTGAATGGCCGCCTGTGTGAACAGAATATAAAAATAAATAAGGGCTGGTGCTTGAATACCCGCCCAATGTAAAAGCTGATTTTTCAGTGGTAGAGAACAATAGGAAATAAGAAGCGCTTTTGTCACAACCCTGTTGAATTTTGGGCGCCGGTAGATAACACTCACGCCTTAGGCGTCCAAAAGTCGAAACTTTCGGTAATCTCGTTTAAATCATACTTGAGAACTGGAAATGACAATATATTTTGTGTATAATTTTTCTTTAAAAATACCAAGAAAAAAAAACGGGCAAATATGGTATATACATTTTATTTCGGCTCGTATGACGAAACAAAAAGGCAATATATACACAGATGAAAACAATGTATGTACGAATAGGTCTCATCAACAATATTTTTACTTACAATCCAACATATTTCATCCAAAATTTTTTTATTTCAGACACGAAAGTCGGAAATCGCGCATCCCCACCCCTGTTCATTTTAACTCCGGTCGAAAATCAGTGACAGGAGTTCCGTACCACGATTCTGAAGCTTCAAAGTCCGCCATGAGAAGCAACATAGAGGGAGTAGGGAGTCATGAGATTGAACGAAACCATCAGAAGAAGGGTCAAAGGTCACAGGAAGGCAATGCAAGAGATAGAGGATGGCAGAATGCTGATATGGACAGGTATTTGGATCTGTATTTTATACGAACGTAACTTTTATTCTATTATTAAAAGCCTTATCAACCTTGTTTGATCATAAGGGTTCATATATATATAGGGATAGAGGCTATGGATATTTTTTTATTATTCTGACTCTCAGTTCTGAGTTATTTGGGTGGTTCATGTAACTGTTGGTTGGTTACGGCTTCCACCGCCATCAATTCCATGCATCTGTTACATTGTGCCTACATTTCCTATTATTATATAAACATTAACAAGCTGTTAACTATAATTACAATTCAAATAATAACAATAACTCAGACATGATTGGTCAATCAAATTGAGCTCAATCAATCAAATTGAGCCCATACCACCACCAAGGAAATAAGGAGGGTATCACCGTAGCAACCTGCATTCCTCACCGGCTGATTTGCTGAAACCAAATTCAGTATCATCCAATCAAATTCATTCCCGCCCAAATGCCTCAACCAATCGAAGTGAAAGTTATCAATATGAGAGAAATGAACCTAAAAATGAGAGATGCTGTCGGATTAGCTCTTGTATATGTTTTTTTATTCATAGTTTTTCATATTGAGTTTTGAGCCGCCGGCCCAGTAACAAAGTCTATTGTCTGTAACCAGCCCACTCAGAAAGTAATTGCCCACTTCTGCCCTAGGTGATATGTTGGGCATTGGGGTGTGAACCAGAGAAGTGATGCTAATATAGTTCAATTCAGAACCACTCACTTTGGTGTCGCACTAAAGTATTTGCTTTGAGTATTAAAGTATTAAATTTGATTGAGCAAATCTTCAAAATCCACTAAAATATACGTATTCATTCTTTCACAGGTATAGGAACCAACCACAACGAGAATTCCACCCTCAGAAGGAGAACATCCAACCCCCTATTCCATCTCACATCAGGTCTGTTGAGGAATACAATTTAGACGGCCAAGAATGCTTCACATTCGGTCGCCATGGCAACACAAAAACAAAACCTCCTCGGAAAAACGCAGACCATTTGCGCAACGATCAAAATAACCTTAAAACCCGCAATGCAGAATTTTCCGATATAAAGGCGCAGTACTTTCGCCAGGATGACTCTCATCGTCCCATGGAAAATCGATTCGCAGAGAAGGATCGCGACTATAATCACAATTCAAATAATAACAATAACTCAGACATGATTGGTCAATCATTGGACCAATCACAAGAGCCCATACCACCACCAAGGAAAAAAGGAGGGTATCACCGTAGCAACCTGCATTCCTCACCTGCTGATTTGCTGAAACCGAATTCAGTGTCATCCAATCAAATTCATTCCCGCCCAAATGCCTCAACTAATCAAATTGAAAGTTACCAATATGAGAGAAATGAACCTAAAAATGAGAGACATTACTCCGAGCCAAAATATTCATCCACTAGAGGTCAGCAGCAGTATTTACTGACCCAACAGAGCGCGCAAGACCAGTATCGGATAAATCCTTCATCGAATAAAGGTCAACATCAGTATTCAATGGGCCAACACTCACAAGATCATTATGGGCAAAAATCACCATCCGCTAGAGGTCACCAGCAAGTTATTCCTTCCCAACACCCCCAAGATCGGAATGATTCAGGAATCGAGATTGGTACGGATCCCGAGTCCCCAGGTTCGAGCTCGGCAATGTCTATGAGGTCGGCAATAAATGGAGACAACAGTCTTGGGTGAGTAGTAAACAAAATAGCAATATTTTAGGGCAGTGTTTTCCAACTTATGGGTTACAACCCAAAATTGGGTCACTTGAAAATTTTCTTGTGTTGCTTGTCTTTGTTTTTTCAACAAAAACCCGAAAGTTACTGCTTTTATTTTCTAGTAATTGTGTATATGGGAAGTGTTATAGCGTAAAAACTTCGAATCTGCTGTTATTAGTCGGTCAGTTAATTTTGTGACCATTGAAGGTAAAAGCATTACATACCGCCCAGTATTGGAGTATATCCTTGGGTCGTGAGAATTTACAAAATTTATTGAAAAAAAAGTTGCGAACCACTGTTTTAGGCAATTCATAAAACATCAAGATGTGGAAAATACTCAAGGCATGAAGACTTATAATGGTGTATACCATGTTAATACTACCAACACTGGGTATGGGCACCTCCAGTTTGGTCCAGTAACCATTCACTATATCAGTGGTGCCCCAATCCCAACATTTTATGGCCCGTGGCTCTCTGCTGTAGTCTTTCATCACCCATGTTTATCACTCCAGTGGCATTTGAAGTGTAATTTTGATTGGTAGAATCCAAATCCCATTATGCTCAAACAATTCATGCTCAACAAAGTGAAAACATCCTATGAAATAACCTTATCAAGCAATGAATCTAGGAAGAACGGCGAGTTTTCTTGTAAAGTGGAAATAAAATTAGTTTTGCGCCAAGCATTGTGGCCCCTTTTCAACCATTCTATGGCCCATTTGGGGGCACATGGGCCCCCCGATTGGAAAACAGCTGTCCTATATGATCATTGGTCATAAAATTCGCAACTGTGCAGTACAGGGATTCCTCGGGTTACGACGGTCGCGACTTACGCTGTTTCGAGGTTACAAACGCGCACTCCATAACGCTGTTTCGTGGTTAAAACGCACTCCACACAAATATAAACGATAATATTGTACTGTAATATCTAAGCCCTTAAACTGGATCATTGTGATCATTGGTTTTCGTCATTTACATCTAAAATGACGTGGACAATACAGTACGATATGTGTAGAGTAATTTATGTACTGTACAGTATAATGTTCCGACTTACACTGAAATTTGGGTTACACCGCTTCTTAAGAACGGAACAACGTCGTAAGTCGTGGACTCCCTGTATACTCAACAATTGGCAAATAAAATTTTAATGCTCCACCAGTGAATCTGCATCAATACTTGGTAATAAACTTTTATGAATATTTTTACTTTATTTCAGGGCGAAATCTGGCACTTCTGGTGGCTCTGTCTTTTCTCCCGACTATTCATCACACCAAATACAACCAAATACTAAATGGGACCAAAGTAACCAATCTGCATACCAACTTGGACGCGCCCAAACCACTGTACCAAACCATGGCGTTATGGAAACAACCAGCGGAAAATATTACTACGTTTCTCCAACTAGTCGTAACAACCCGAGACTTCATACTGGTTACGATATACCAAACCAAAACCAACCGTACCAACCAAGTTCTGGTTACTATAGTTCACCAAGCAAAACTCCAAACCAGCTTACCAAATCCCCATCACCAAGCAATTACCAATCAAACCAATCAGCAAAACCATACTACCAACCAGAAAAACAATATTCACCACAGAAAACCAATTACGACCAATCCCATGGTGACCATTCACATAGTGTAACCAATACGTACCAATCACCTGGTTACCATTCCACATCTGGTCCTTATTCAACAACCATAGGCAACCAGAAAGCAACTCCTGAGCACCCTCAAGTGTCCCAAACACGAGTTTCAAAACGTCCAAATTTTAACGACTTTTTCAACGACAACCAAAAGTTGAAGAATTCGCTGAGTAGTCTCAGCCAGTTGTACAGTGAAAATGACTCTAAGCCTTCATACGGGAGCGCATTCCAGTTAGAAGATGATCCCCTAATTGATGGACGGCAACATGGGTCGCATAGGTCATATGAAAATGCATTCACACTATCTCCAACAGCATCGTTAGATCACAAAAAAGTCGCTGGTGCGCGAATTCCGCAATATAGTAATCCTCCAGATTACGGGCATGAAAAAATAAGAGGGGCACCACCTTCACCAAATCGAAGGGATGGTAATAACAATCTTGGGCAATCTACCATTAGTGGTGGTCAGTATTCATCAACTGACACGCCCCCTGCTCCACCCCCTCGTCAAAAATCCCATAAAGCTCTTGAGAAAACAAAACTTAGCAATCTTGGCCCAAAATATTACTCCCATATTTCAAATGATGACTATACCCAAGGCAGTGGGGATAATTTCAGATTCGCTAACGGAATTGACTTGCAAAAAGCAAATGAAGACCAGGAGGCAATGTATGTGTAGAGAGTTATTTACTTTGAGATTTTAGATGGCAGAACCAAAGCCGTCTTCCCTTAGTGTTGGATTTATTTGGATCTGGTTGAAGGTTTCTTTCATAAGAGACATTTTACGGTCCTGCCGTAGTATGTGTACAGGGTTAGGGTTTGGTCATAATTTTCTCCTATTTTGGTTCTATTACGAGTTCAGGGGCTGTCTGTGTTGGACAAGTGAATATACCCCCTGCTCATAGGTTTCAGTCTCTTGATGTAAAGTAGGCGAACAAAATTCGTCACCTCCATATTAGACTTCAGGAGTGCCCATTTTAAATGGTGCTGTTAAATCAGAAAAACATTCGAAACTCGCGATTTACACTTTTTCAGTCATGGATTTCAAAATGAATCGAATTTTTAATGTATCTCGACTCCAATATCAAAATTTTTAACTAGGAAAGCATTGATAATTGCCAACTTTCATTTTTTTTATTAATTGCAACCATCAGTTTCACAAAATTCCTAAAATTTGAAAATAAGACTGAGATTTATGTAAAATAGTTGTGTTGTTTTTTCTGTACTATGTACAAATTTTTTTTATTACTTATTTGATGTACTTTTTATTTCCCAGAACAAAACTCTAGACAAGTGCTAGAAAGCTGGCTTGGCCAGAAAGTTTGAAATTATATTTTGCAATGCAATTGTTATGCTTTAAACAGTGAAATAACCGAACAAAATCCACCTATATGTATATATTGTGACAAAAAATAGGTAACAGTTTCTAATAATTAATTACGATGATTCAATAACTGTCATCAATTTTGGTCGACATCATATGTCGTTGGAGCAGACGAGCCTGCGAACAAATTTGTTGGTTTCATTTTCTCAAACCGTTGCCAAACGAAAATATCAGGCAATTCTTTATTTTTAACAAAAAAAATGTTCTTTGTGTTTTTTGATTTATTTTTTTGTGACAATTTTGATAATACATACGAAGAAGACACAAATTATTGTGTCCCTGTCCATATTCCGAATTATCCCGCCAAGCATATTATTATTTATTCACACCAAAACCAGGGAAAACTCTTGTGTACTCGTTTTATATATTGTAATATTAAATCTGTTCTACTTTGGTACTATGCACCACTGCAAATAAGTGAAGCGTTACTTGGCAGAATAAGCGCATTCTAACATAAGCAAATCAATGCTGGCATTCATGCTCTATTGATTATTGTGGATAGTACCGAAGTAGAACTTGTATATTTGAAGCAGAAATTCACTGTAAATTTTACTGTTTATTTTTAATAGTAGTGGAGTAATGATATTGTACTGTGATTCATTTATTTTGTAAATTTTTGTTTTTCATTCTTTAGTATAAAGGTCTGTTAGTTTAATGTAACCCGTGTCTGTACTTATTTGTTTCAATTGGTATCCATCCATATCAAACGAATACAGGGTGTCCATAAAGTCTCTTTACGGCGCTCCCGAAGTATGCGAACCAAGATGGCGGACATCGGAATGTAACATGGGTAACGGGTTAGGGTTAGGCGATAATTTTTTTCCAATTTTCCTTATTTTAGTCCTATTATCAGTTCGAAGACTAGCCAAGAGCCTCTCGTAGTATATATAGCTAAAATTATGGCCTAACCCTAACCTAGTACACATATTACATTCCGATGTCCGCCATCTTGGTTCGCATACTTCGGGAGCCCCCTCTTTACAAATTCAATTATTTTGTTACGAAATCAGTTCTGAATATATCTTAACCAGGTTTGTTGTTTTTTAATCATTAATTGTTTAAGTATTTTTACTTCATTTAATACATCTGTGAGGGCAAACAATATATGGTATCGATAAATTCCCTTTTCATTTTCAAAAATTTAAATACTTTTTGGACATTCTATATAACTGCTAAACTAATCTGATACCCAATATGAACAAGCAATTAGTAACCAGACGAGAAAACGTAGTTCATCACATGATCAAGTCAGCATTCCTCTCTCCGAGATGAATATGAAGTCCTTTTTTAATTAGTAATTGTTGTGCAGTAGAGTATTTTTACTTCATTTAATACGTCTGTATGGGCAAAAACAATGTATGACATCGATAAATTCCCTCGGAATTTTTTAGGACTTTATATAACTGCTCAACTAATCCCATATCCGTAACAAGGCGAGAGATCGTAGTTTGTCTTAGTCCGCCGTCTAATCGTTTTTCTTTACTTCATAGATAAATAAAAAACCTATCCTCTACCCATTAAGTCTAATATATCATAGTAGCGCTGTAAATAACGCAATACAGTAGAATGCATTAAAAGATCTTCCTAACACAGTATTACAGTAAAGTAGATTATATTATGGGTCACCAGACCACTAGCGAATAGTCTCATATAAAATAGATATTACATATATTCCCAAAAAAGTAATTTTTATTGTAAAGATTGCCTTTTTATAAACAAATAATTTTTATCCAATTTAAATTCATCATTTAATACAAAAACTTTCTAAAATCTCTATATATATCTAATCTCAAACATTATAAAAAAAAATAGTTCTTCGTTAAAATTTTCGTTTTTGTGCTATTTTTTGTATACTGGTAGTATTTTGTTTACAAAATTTCAAGGTTCTATGTTACTTCACTGTATTCGTCTCAATGTTACATTTTTAATTTCATTCCAATTCTTATTTTTTACTTTTTCTAAGTGGTATTTTCGTGTCTGCTCAAACAAGGGACCTCCTGAAGTATGCGCACCAAAATGGCGCACAATCTGAACCGGGTTGTGTACCAGGTTAGGGTTCAGATTGTGAGACATCTTGGTGCGCATACTTCAGGAGTACCCAAACAAGGCTATGGGACACGGAAAGCAAATGCTGAAATATAGAATGTTACTTTGTTTTTATTAACGTTCAAGTCAGGTTAGCGTAATGTCCAAGTCCATATATTTGGAACAATTAAAACTGTTTTCCAATTGTCATACCTGATTTGGACTGGTATCTGGCTAAGCGGTCATGGTTTGTCCATGGTTAAACTGTTTCGTCACTGGTTAACAATTATCACGTCTGAACCAGACTGATAACCGACAAGCGTCCATGGTTTGTCCATGGTTGAACTGTCTTGTCACTGGTAAACAATTCCCATACCCGACCAGGACTGGTAACCGGACAGTCGTTTATGTTTTGTCTATGGTTAAGCTGTCTTGTCACTGGTCAACAATTTTCATACCTGGCATGGACTGGTAACTGGACAAGCAGTCATGGTTTGTCCATAGTTGAGCTGTCTCGTTTCTAGTTACCAATTCCCATACCTGACTCGAACTGGTAACCGGACAATCGTTTATGTTTTGTCTATGGTTAAGCTGTCTCGTCACTGGTTGACAATTCTTATACCTGACCTGGACTGGTAACTGGACAAGCAGTCATGGTTTGTCCATAGTTGAGCTGTCTCGCTTCTGGTTACCAATTCCCATACCTGACTCGAACTGGTAACCGGACAGTCATTTATGTTTTGTCTATGGCTAAGCTGTCTTGTCACTGGTCAACAATTTTCATATCTGGCATGGACCGGTAACCGGACGATTGGTCATGGTTTGTCCATGAGGTCGTTTTGTCACTGGTTAACAATTTCCATACCTAACCCGAACAAGCGGGCATTAGCTGTCTAATCTTTTCTTCAGATGAATCCTAACCCACATCTTGGTTAGCAACATAATTTGAATTATGACACCAAGTTTTTTATTATGACCTCATAAGTATTTTCTTCAATTTCGTTGAAGTTCCGGCTACCCCTGTATATATTATCATCACAATATTAGTCGAACACACATTTTTTAAACTTTTTTTCTCTGATCAAACGGTACTATTAGTCAATGTTTATATTTTTGTTGCAAATAATTCTTTAGTAATTTAGAATTTTGGATAATGATATATATCTATATTTTAAAAATTTGGCAATTCTTTGTTTGGCCTTTTGAAAGTAAAAATTAGAAGGATTACGTCTTTACGCTCTTTGTTGATACGCTCTTCGTTCTTTGATTGGTCAGCGAACTATGGCTATGTCAGGGATGTATCTTAATCTGTTGTTCGATGAAAGTATCACCAAAAGTATATTAAATTTCATATGGCGTTTTAAAAGTGTAGGAATTAAATGAATTAAGTCCTTACGCCAATCGTTGGTTGGTAAGCGTTCAACACAATGTCGGAGATCGATCTTAATTCGTTGTTTCACCAAAATCTGTTGCCTCACTAAATGAATTTAAAAAAAAATCAACTGCAATTAATACACATCGAAGAATCTGTGAGAAGTCCGTGGTGAGCTATCTAATTTATGCAACCATATCAACTTGGGTGTCTGAAGTTCTTCTCATACCTTTGCTCGAAACAAGGCTCGGGACCGCACTCAATCTTTTGGGCTATTGATAGCATTATATTCAATTTATTACAACATGGACAAAGTGGCGGATATAGAGTTTAAACCAGGGATTCTTAAAACTTTAATTGCTTCTTTCGAAGGCTTAGAACACCTGCTGTTCCCTTCTATAAAAATACCTAATTTTGCTTTTTACAAATTTCCATCAGTTATTTTATGTGTCACGTAGTGAAACCATTCGAGGAAAACTCATTTGGACCGTTTTCTACGCTATTATTAACTTAAATACTAAAACAATGAAAAAATAACAATTTACAAGATGTAGCAATCTTGACGCTAACCAAATAAAACTCTCGCTTTGCAACACGTCTATCAACATCTTCAGATCGATTGGCCACATTAGGTGGCGCTAATCCAATTTCATCATATGTCACATTTTATATCAATTTACTTTAATGTAGTCATCATTAATGGCAACTGATGAGGGCTTCTGCTGTGGGCTCCCATAAAGACCGATCCGCTGACATCCAGGCGAGAGTTTATTTTAGGTCTGGTCTAAACCCAAGATATTCTTCAACCTGTGATGCTAACCATGTTTCTCAAAAAAAGAGAGACCTAGTCTGGATTTTAAAAATGATTTCATATGAGCCCTTGCCTTAAAATAAGACA